TGGCTCGCCCCTGCGTTGGGGGCGTTTGGTGCCGCTGTGGCCAGGCCTAAGAGCAGCATGTGAAAACCGGAAGGGTTGGGAGCAAAGCGCTTAATGCCTCGATCCTCCTTAAACAGCTCGGCAAAAAATTCCCTCTTGGTTATAGCAAGCGATATCTTGCACGGAGGATCTTTTTTTTTTTTTTTAAATAGCATAGGGAAAAGAACAATTAAATCCAACCACTGCTCCAGTAGCAAAGCCTAATTACTGTACAAAGAACCGAGCTGGTACCTTTCACATCCTCAAATGTAATAAAATAAAGCCTAATTAATCAAACAGGAACTGCTACCGCTGCTGTTCTGCAAAGACAGCTCGGCGCTTGAGTGCATGGAGGACCCGGGCGGCTCGCGCGACTCTTGCGAGGTAAGTGCAGGGTGTTTCTGTGAGCAGTCTGACTGTTAACGTGATTAGTGACGATCGTTAGCGGCTTTGACTGCAGAACCTGAAGACGTGGTCAGTAGGAGAGGAGAGAAATGGTGGGGCCTGTGTTTTCCACCCGTTGCCACTCTTCCTCAAAGCAACTTCCCCAAGTTGCTTTTGTGCCTGGCTCAGGTCTGAACGGCTGTGGGAATGGGGTGAAGCGCGGGAGCCCCCGGTCCCCGGGGCTGGGACAGCGGGGACCAGGCCCTGCAGCTCCTCCGTGTTGCCCATCGTTGGTGCGGGGTTGCCCTAAGGCTTCAGCTGCTCACGCGTGTAGGTTTACAGAGTTAGCGAGGTTCCCCCACTGGGAAATGCCTTGCAGCCGTCCCTTCCAACGTCAATCCCTCCTGTAGGGCGGAGGGAGCGTGAGAAGGACGGGTAGCAGATCTCCTCCTTTAGGAAAGGCTGAAGGTTTAAAACTCGAGGACAACGTGGTTAAAATCGAGCCACGATCCTGTTTGTTTTGAACGGATGTCTAGTTCTGTTCTTCCACCCAACTGATATTTCAGGCGCTGGTGTGCAGCGCTGTAGAAACCAGTCCTGATGTTGTGGAGTTCAATATTGCCCTCTTCTGATCAGACGCTCACCCTCCAGGGCTGCAGAACATCCTCGCTGCCCGGGCTGCTGCGATCCTGGCTAGCGTGGGGTGCTACAGCTCTCCTCCGCAGGGTGTATCGTAACAGCACTGAGGTTTCCAGCACTGGAGACTCGTCAGCCGTCTGCTGCCGTGGGGGGATGGAAGATCCTGAGAGGGTTGGTCCAGACTCAGGCTGTACCGAGGCTTCTGTGGGCTCCTGGATGTGCTAAATCCAAGCTTGGAGGCTGGTTCTGCTAGGACGTGTGCTTTTTGGGTGGGTTTGTTGCCCTGTTTTTGGCCTCACAAGGCTTGAAACGTTGACCCCTTTGAGGGAGCAGAGCTTGCTCGTGGCAATGGTCAGCTAAAAGTCGCCGGAAGAGTCAGGGTGTTATCCCTCAAACATCCCCTGTGAGCCTTGCACGACCAAACTCCCTGTTCTTTGGCTATTTGTGAGGTTAGATAAGCTGAAAACAGCCCATTTTCCGTTCTCTAAAACGCATGTGTGTTGCCCCAGAGCAGCTGGTTTCCCGCTTGGGCTGCGGTGTTGCTTGTCCTCGTTCTACGTGCAGCTTTCTGGCAGCTGAGCGCCGACTCTTTGCGCGTGCCGTCCTTCCCTTCCTCTAAAAGGCTTGGGCCGAAATCGCCATGGGTTTCTGTTTGCCTGCGACGCCCGCGTTCGGCTTGGCAAGGACGTTGACAAATTGCGAGCGCGTTGAGCAAAGCGTCACGAGGAGGATTGGATGTCTTGGAAACGGCGAGGCTCCGGACGGGCGAGTGGCGGGTTGGACAGCTCGCCCTGGCTTGATCGTGCTGCCGAGGGCCACCTCGCGCGGAGCGGGGCCGCTGGGAGAGAAGCCGAGTCCGGGTCGGGGCCGTCGCCGTTCCAAACCTGGCGACTTAGTTCGCGTCCACCCTCGGTTTAACCTAGGGGCCGCGTTGCGGTGCTGCTGGGGCGACTCTGCGCCGGGCTCCGCGGGAAAGGGGTCCGAGGGCTCTTCGTGCCGGAAGGCAAAATCCGAAAAAAAGATTTGACAAAACAAAACTGAAACTTCGAAGGGAGGTAACTCGTTGCTGAGACCCCTCTGGCAGGTGAACGATGGACCTTCTGCCATCTGGTGGCTTCAGATCCAAGAGAGCGTGTCCTGCTAAAAGCTCCTTTTTCGGGAAGTGGGGCATTCATGAACGTTTCCGGCTGAAGTGCTGT